AAAAACAGTGACCAATGAGAGGCGAGATCAGCTGCCGCGAGACGGCCAAGCCAATGCGCGGAACTAGGCTTCGTGCGCTCGGTGGCTGCGCCGTCTCGTACTAACCGAGCTTGCCTCTCATTGGTCGCTGTTTTTCGTTAATAACTCGCAAACGAAGCCACGGATCCCATTTTCGCTAAGGAAATCATTTCTCATTTCTCAGAACTACAATAATTTTGGGACACCCTGTATGCCAGCCTTATTACACAATACCTGTATCAAAATCATATCGGTTTTAAGTATCTGGATGGAACCGAGTGACTCTATCGATTAATGTAGTGTTGTATAATGAAATTATGATGCATTTTGACAGTGGTACGATCTCGAAGCTCCAGAGTCGGTGGATTTCCCTCAGGATTACTCGAGAAAATTGAAGCCCTTTGAAAAACTGATGTTGATACGGTGTTTCCGCGTCGATAGAGTCTATCGCGGCATCGTCAATTACATCAGCGAAATCATGGGCGAGCAGTATATCACTCCACCTCACGTTAGTTTCGAGATGATATTCGAGCAGAGTACACCGACCATGCCTGTGGTTTTCATTCTTAGCCCTGGATCCGACCCAACGTCGGAATTGATGAAACTGGCAGATGGATATGGATGTGGTGGTGGAAAATTCAAGTACCTGTCCCTGGGTCAAGGACAAGAAAGTGTAAGCATAATGAATTCTTTCAGACGAATATTGTACAATTTTGTGAAAAAATTTTGTAATCTGACTGAAACAAAAATTTTGTTCGGCTAATTTAGATTTAGCACGTTGTAGTAATTTTATTGTTTCAAATTATAGCGTACAACGTATTATTCAAAAAGTCCACGACTATCCTTTGTTAAATTGTTTGAATGATTCATAAATGAGAGTACAGTTCTCGCGCGACAGGAAGGCTCTTTTGTGTTTACATCCCCCCTTCCTAACTAATAAGAGGGGCAGCTAATAAGAGGGGGAATGTAAACACAAAGGTGCTTTCTTGTCGCTTGAGGACTGTTCATTGCGTTTAATCCCTTCGCGTGTTTTGGCAACTCTGACTCGTGGTGGAGATTTCTAGTAATAACTTGTTAATAAATGCTATTCTGTTCTCCTAAGTCAAAATAAAATTCTGCCATCTTATCATCAATATTTATGCATTTCGAACAAAAATGTGTGTGTAAAATATGTAACAATAGTATAATTTAAGAATGTCGATACATTTTTTTCAGCTTTTTGAAATTACTAAGGAAAAATGTAAATTTCAATTTGACTCGTGTTTGTTAAAATTGATGCAGAAAATTTATATTTTGTGTAAAGGTGCGCAGTCTAGTAATCAATATTTAAACATTTAGGTGAATGGCACACACACAGTGGACATAAAGTTTCTTTTCCTTCTAAGAGATTATTACAATGGAAAAAAAATCTTTAATCATTGTAACAGAAAATGGTACAGTAAGGGGATTACTGAACCTATAAAAATATAGTTTTAGGTTTTGTGAACTATCATTGGCTAATAGGAAAATTATTTACAGCGACAATTTCAAATGCAAATTATTGTACCATTCTATAGACCGCGATAGAACTGTTAGAGGTAGCACTGACCAGAGGACAATGGCTGATGCTACAAAACTGCCACTTGCTTCTGAATTTCACCAGAGAGTTGGAAAAGCTTCTAGAGAATTTCGGGAAGCCTCATCCCGACTTCCGTTTATGGCTCACAACCGATCCAACCCCTAATTTCCCGATTGGAATTTTGCAACAGTGTCTGAAAGGTTCGAATCGCTTGAAAGCTGCACCTCGACGAAAGAATATTTCAGTTTGGAATATTATTGCTTTACAAAGCTAAAAACGCTAACTACAATCTTGTAATGTATAATAAAAATGTAACTTCCATTTATAGTCGTAACCGAACCACCAAGCGGCTTGAAGCTGAACCTTGAGAACACATTCTTCAAAATGAGACCTCAAACCTTGGAGTATTGCGAGCATCCTGTGTACAAGCACCTAATTTATGTACTGGCTTTTTATCATGCAGTCGTACAGGTATGATAGACGAGTCGATGGTGTTATCCAAGGTTTCAATTGGTTCTGACCTAAATGGAAATGGTATGATAGGAGAGAAGAAGGTACGACAAAGTTGGCTGGAACATAAATTATGACTTCAATGAATCGGATTTTAATGTCTGCACGACTATCCTGAACACTTATTTGACTAAAGCGCTTCACGCTGGCGACACCAGGATACCGTGGAACAGTTTGAAGTACCTCATAGGCGAAGTAAAATTTTACAGCATTTTCTTAATGATTCTTTATTAATGGAGAAACTTCCGTAACTAGAAAATTACAATTCCTTTATCTGAATTACAAATTTCAACAATATCATTATGCCATTTTGAAATCAGTAAAAGCTTGAAACTTTCGTGAACGAATTTTGATCATAGTTGTTACTATTTCTGCAAAATGTACGAAAGAGGAAGATATATAACAATCTTTAAGTCTTTGTCATACTTTTATTATAACAATCTGTTAAAATTATAAAAAATATATAAATTATTAAATACTGTTCTCTTGTCATCGATAAACCGCGGATTTTACACATTTATGACAAAAATAAGTAATTTGAAGAATTGAAAAATTTCGATATACTTGTTTCATCTTATTGAAATTATTAAAGAAGAATACCATTTATAATCTTACTATTAATGCGAAAAATTTTTATTTTGCGCAAAGAATCGCGGTATAGTTAGCAATGTTTAAGCATTCGAGTAAATGTAGAAAAATTTTCATTTTCTACAAAGAAATTATTACAATCAAAAAACTTCTAATGATTGTAGCTCTGAAGAAAGTGGTACGACAATGGGTTAAGGATTACATTGTTTAATGTTTCGATTGATAAATCATCGATAAAATTAATAAATCTGTTTTTGTGGAAGTTCAAAAAATCAAAAACTCGTTATGGAAGTTTCCGAGAGAATGAGCTTTCGTAGTTTGAAAATTTGATTTTTACCAATGATCAAGGTGATGTACGGGGGACGAGTGATCGATAGCTACGATCGCAGAGTTTCCCAGACTTACATGGACGAGTATTTCGGGGACTTCCTGTTCGACGTGTTCCAACCTTTCCATTTTTATCGCGACGAGCACGTTGATTACGTGATACCGACTGAAGGGGGACGTGATGATTACTTGAAGTTCATCGAAGAATTGCCGCTAGTAAACACACCGGAAGTCTTTGGACTCCATCCAAATGCCGAGATTGGGTCCTTCACTCAGGCGGTGAAAGAAATGTGGAGCAATCTTATAGAATTGCAGCCGCAGGCCGGTAAAACTTTAACAAGTCTTGTTTGCCACTGTAGCTTTAACACCGCAACTAACGAGCAGTCGGAGACTGACTGCTTTAAAGCCTTTCACGAGATAGGTAATTTGGCAAGTAGGATGAATATTCATTGCAACGATATAATCAAATTGATATGTTCAGTAGCTTCAAAAAATATCCGCACACTTTCTCAATAATCAACAAATTTTCGTGTGTAATACGTTGAGCGCTGTGTGAGTCACATTTTGATAACACTAATTTTTATCTAAGGATACAAAATCTAGGATACTATCTCTTTGTATCTAGGATACAAAAGAGTTAAAACATATATATTATACATTATACATATTTTATATATATATAATATAAATAAATAATATATAAATACATATACAATAAATAAATAAATAAATAAATATATTTATTATATATGTATTTATATTATATATATAATTTATAATTTATATATAATTTTCAGTTTCATTAAGCAAATTACTCACATTTTGTGGGAATTCTTGGGATCGATTTTCGACACTTAACGTGTTCAAACTCTTATAATTTAGATAAAAAAGACAGTCCCGTAGGATTAAACCTTGATTCATTTCAATTTAAAGATTCGATAAAACGTGAAATATTTTATTTTCAATATTTGTTCGACTCGTGTCTGAACAGTTTCTAATGCACATAAACGTTTTAGTAAGCACGAGGATAACGAGTAAGTGACTTTCGCGAACTAAAATCACGTGAAACTTAACAATACGCAAGCTAATCGTACAAAAATTCGGTTGGAACAATAGAAGCGAGCAGTACGGGGGCGAGCAAAGACGAATTCATCGACAACATCGCGAAAGAGGTGCTGGACAAAGTCCCGGGAGAATACGATCTGATAAAAGTGAAAAGAACTTTCGGGGTAGCCATAACGCCGATCGCGATTGTTCTCTTCCAAGAATTGGAGAGGTTCAACAAACTAATTCGGACGATGAAGAGGACCCTTTTGCAATTGAGAAAGGTTTCCATCTTTCTTAATCGCTTTTGTGAAAGGAAATCCTTGCTAAAGAAATCGAATAATGTTAGGCCATCGCCGGTGAGATTGGAATGGACACTATGCTCGAGAGTATTTCCACAGCTTTGTACAATGGTGTATTGCCAATGGAGTGGGCTAGATTTGCACCGGCTACCAGAAAAAATCTTGCTGGGTGGATGGAACATTTCGAGAAGAGAATACAACAGTACACTGATTGGGTAAGAAAACATCGCTTCTTCTAGGTTGTAACACATTTTTATTTAACCATTATCCGTTTTTTTTTGTCATAAATATATAAAATCCATTGTCCAGCTGTTATGCCGTAACTGAATTCATTCGACTCTGGGTAAACAACTAAACACGAACAAATACTGTTGAAACTACAGTAACGAGATTTATGTCACAATGCTTCACAGAATGTTGAAAAATATTGAAATTTAATTCATACAAATGCTGGTATAGAACTTTGACTAAAACAGTTTTTTAAATTGTAGTTTATTAAAATAATGTCTCCAAAAGCTTTAAATAGGAATGTAGATACCTATCATCATAAATCTTAATTTCTCCGAATTTTTTACTATGCTAAATACTGAAAGAGAGCCTAAAGAATAAAAACTCCAACATATTTGTAGCCGTTTTTTTTTTTAATGAGATATTTTATTTATTTCTGCTTACTTCACTTTATTTTTCTGTTTCTGGTTGTGAAAACGACTGAAATTGATGACAAAAAAAAACAAATGAATTCGAAATACCTTATACCGAAGCACCTTTTAATCTCTAAATATGGTGCCTCTATCATCTATAAGCTTTGCAGGAACTTTTACTTCTTATATATGAAAGAAATATAGTCATAGAAGTAGAGTGACTAAATCGACACGATAATTACAAGTAGCAGGTTTGGAAATTTTTTAGTCCGGCGGAAGTGAGCCGATAGTACTTTGGCTGGCTGGTCTGCACATACCGGAAACTTATTTAGCAGCCCTCGTGCAGATGGCCTGTCGCAGGAACAGTTGGTCTCTCGATCGTTCTCTTACCTATACAGCTGTATCCAGGCATATCAGGGTGGAACAGGTAGAAGAGAGACCGGAACAGGTAAAATATCAAATATATTTATTGTTTACATTTATTTATATACCTATATCTTATATATTTATTTATATATTCAATATTGTACATTTTAATAGCGTCTCCACTAATATTAAATAAATTGAAAAGTTAAAAAACTAGTATAAACATTATTTTACGGTTTTAATTATATTTGTTGAGATTGTTAAGATTAATTTTTGAATAAACATCAGTTCTAACTTCCACTGTTTTTTATTAAAAACGCTTTGATACGTTTTGAAAAGTTATAGCGGACCCTACAAAATCACTAAATCTACAAAATCACTTTTAATATCCACGAGGAGAAATATTGGATTTAGTGGAGAAAAGTGGATTATTCTTTTATTTCTTTGACTCCATCCCATTTTTTTTTAATTAACCGCGGGTCAAAGGATAGCAATTAAATGAGGTATTACTTCCTCGCTTCTCTTCTGATTTAAATCGTTGCTGATGGCTTTGACAACAAAAAATCATTTCTACCAGAGTTTGACGATAATTCGGTTTCCCCTTTTCCAAACGAAACTGTAAATGGAAAGCTGAAATGAAAATTGCAGAGAGTAATCAGTAGACTAGACAAATTTAAGAATAAAAAAGATAATAACAATATATTATATTACTCTATATATTACAACATATTATTTCTTACTTGGAACGGATGAAGAAAATTTTTATTTTGCATATAAAGACTCTGTCTTATTATAAATAGTCTGGTCTTATAAAGATATGATAAATAATTTGTCATTTTCAAACTTATTTAGGGTTGCTACGTGAGCGGATTGTACCTAGAAGGTGCGAGGTGGGACATCGTGAATCAGTGTTTGGAAAGATCACGGCCGAAGATCCTGGTCGAGGAACTACCAATTTTAATTGTCATACCTATCGAAGCTCATAGACTCCGGCTTCAGGTATGAAAAAGAATTGTATCAAAATCTTGCAGATATCCCGAAATAATCATAATTCGAAATTTCAGAATACCATCAAAACGCCTGTATACATGACGTCCGACCGACGAAACGCTATGGGGGTCGGTTTAATATTCGAAGCGAACCTTACCACGAGCGAGGACATTTCCCATTGGGTGTTACAAGGAGTTTGTTTAATATTGAACACCGATTAATTTGATGAGATTCAACGCAATAAGACTGCGATATCTTGTACAGTGACAATGTTATCATTAAACTATGTTAAACATATAGAATAAAATTGTATTATTTATAGAAACATTTTTTTTATTTTTGGAGATGTGTACAAGAAAAGAAGCGATATTTTATTTCTATGTAAAATAATGGTGTGCGCAATGTGGAGAGTTTTCTTATGCATGCCTCCATAACTTACGAAATTACAGCGATTTATTTATTTTTAATTTATTATAAATCTATTGCAGTGCCTCAATATATCCGTGACGAAACAGTCACGCTATTGATATTTGTACTGTCAGCGATAACATTGATAAGATATAAATCATTGGAAAAGGTCAAAGAATCTACAAGTGACTTATCGTAACAATTTATTATAATAGTATCTATCATTTTGTAGAAGCTTTGATCTGAGGTAAACACAAATTGTAAAAAGAACTATCGACGAAATCGTTAAGGCTCTGCCATTTCACCCAATGTTGAGACACTAATTGCTCCTTGCTCCTTGCCTGTCCGACGAAATGAGGGTCTACGATCAGCATGTAAGTATTTTCCACTCCCTCGTGGATCCCAACTATGCATTTACTCGAGCAGTCCCTGTCTCCGCCCATCATTATTGGACTACCAAACTCTTCGAAGTGCGTTTTAATAACTGCTATCTGGTCCGGCAATTGTTTGCCGCTTGATACGTGAATAATCTTGCTGAGAACCTCGTACAAATGATTCAGCACAAGGCATACCTACGGGTCATCGACGGATGAGTCACCATTATCTTTCTACACCGTTATACGTCGAAGTTAATCGAGAACTTAATTGATAATGGTGAACGTGTTACAGAGCTCAATTACAATCTGTGCCGACATTATTTAAATATGCTACATTCTTTTTATCGTCTTCATCATTGCGTTTATCCTGTGCAAAGTGTCACTCATCGGTAAACTGCAGATTTTATGCATGCATAACAGAAATAAGCAAGCTCAATTTAAAACAGTAAACAGATTAGAGGAATTTGAGAGCACCAATATATTTCAGCTTATTAAAGTCGTTAAAAGAAAATAGAGATTTTGACTGAGGTTTTTATACATTTATGGCAAAATTGGATTTTTCTAATTTGAAATATTGTTGATCTATTAGAATTATTAAAGAAAGAATGAACGTTCTAATCAATGCAAACGATATTTATTTTACACAAGGATCCGAAGTATATTAATCAGAAAGTAAAATATTTATTTTTAACAAATAAGAATTTACGCTTCTTCAGGCAAAGAGAGGCAGTGCTTTGCAAAATACACTAAATGCTTACTTCGAAACTGCCTACCCATTCTCTCGACCCAATAAACGATCTCTCCTTGTCTTCCAGAGTCACAAGTATTTCCTGCACCCTTCTGTGATTCGGAACAGAGTGCTCTAATTTCCGGTTTTTTATGATCCACGAGCAAATCGTCTGCAGAGTTCTGTATCCGCAACCCCAACCCTAAATGTTCAACAAGTAAATGTTTAGTAAGGGGGAATGCCCTCGTTCGAATGTATTCTAGAAATAATTGTATAGGGCAACGACCGAATTATTCTTAGAAGCAGAATTAATACTCGAGCACTTTTGGCTTAAATAGATTTGGCCCGGAATAAGATGGAGAAACTCGACGGTTCGAACGATTCAAATTGGTATGATCTAATCTCGAACTAACTAACACGAAATTCGTGTCGTCGATACTTTTAGCACCACGCATAGTTACAGATGAGTCTAATCTAGCAAGCCAAATTAATTCCTAGTGCTTTGTAAATTATCATTATGAATGTACCATCTTTTCGACATGTAATGCAGATGTGAGCAGCTCTGAAAAAGCAGTTCAAAGCGTCGCTGCTTTTAATCCTGCCTCATTGTTTACAGGTAATAACGTAAGCAGCTCTATGTTCGCAGTTCGATGACTCAGAGTTAAGTCACCGTCAATCACTCGAACAGAAACAAGCTCGAGTTTTTCCGCATTGCTTCGATTAGAGTCAGCTCAAACATCAAATAGGTGGAGCGACTAAAAAGAACTCGAGCATTTCAAGCCAATCATAGGTTCGACTCGACTGGAACGGTTTGATTACTCATCACAAGACATCGCCGTTACCACGATTTCTATTTACTCGATTAAATTGAACAATATTTGTTCATCAACTAAAAGATTAGTTACACCTCGAAAAGTGACATTCATGGAAGCATCGTCGGAAAGTTGCCGATAGCTATAGTTGCGTAAAAATATCCTACAGCAATAAACATGGATAAATTTTAAAGCTTGAAGACTTTACTTTCGTGATCCATCATTTTCTAAGGAACAAATTATTTAAGAAACAATTTTCATTTTTAACAAAGTTAATAAAACGAAAATAATATAATAGTATGGTTGAATTCTTCTAATATTTTTATAGTTTTGTGTTTTACCTATTTTAACCATAAATATATAACATGTGCGATCCACTCAACATGTACGAGCTATGGAAGAATAGTGTAGTAGATAATAATAGTATATAATAGTATATAATAATAATAATAGTACATGATAATAATAATAATAATAATAATAGTATAGTAGAAGAAATAGTAAGATGTCTGCTTATTTGCATATTATGATTGAAATGTCACAATTCAAATAGAAAATAGCTTATAATATATTGAGTATTTAAAATATTTGTCCTACTAAAACCTTTTTCTTCTATTTAACTAGTACCGTCTACCCTTGAAACGTATCACTCCTTCTTAACACCACGTAGGGTGTTAAGGTGCAACAATAAGATAAATTTAAGTAACCTACTGAATGGAAAATAACGATCGTGTCTATTCTCCAGACTTTCGAGCAACAATTACCTTATCGTTAAATCCGTCGCAGCCATAATGCCAGTACTCGTAATCTCCGCGAATCAGGAAGCTTCGGCCCGGTTCGGGCAGGAGAATGTCCCAATGAACGTTTTCCAACAAGCTGCTCGTGTAATCAACGATCATTATATAATAGCGCAAGGAGTATCGTCAAAACCTGCGAGAAAAATAATTCTTTCGAAAGAGTCACGGCAAATGATTGCAAGCTAATTATTTTTTAATTTTTCGTGATCACAGAGCAGCCTAATGCCAGCAATATCGCAGAGTTGCTCTGGATCAGTTCACAAAATGGCAACTGCACCATGCGGGACGGACCAAATGGTAAATAGAGCGAGTTGCTTCGTAGTTTCCAGGTTTACGAGCGATTCGCCACCATTCCCGTAGTTTTCGAAAGGGCCAAACGGTCAGTTAACGCTCGGCCGTGGTCGTAATGATTCAGTGAAACCTCGTTCGCTTTCCATTCGGTATCGCAGCGTAATCAGTTTCTAGTTACAAGAATTATTTCGGGAGAGTAAATCAGAATGCGGATTACATGGATCTTCCTAAACGTCTGTCATTAAACAATCTGGTCTTCCTACACATGGTTAACGCTAGGATTACGGAGCACCACAGGTGACTATTTTAAGTTGCTTTCGAAAAAATATTTCTTGCGACTAAAATTATTTTTCGTTACATACTTTTATATTTTTATTGTGTTCGTCCAAAAGGCTCATATTCATCGATTTGGTAGTTCGATAGTTATTATTTAAATGAAAAATTTATAGTTATTATATATAGTTATTATTAGTTATTATTATAGTTATTATAGATATTATTATAGATAGTTATTATTTAAATGAAAAGAAGGTTGACACTTTACAGATCTGTAAAATGAACAACTTTGCAAATTTTAAGAAATCCTTCGACATACGTTTATATAACACAGTAAAAATTATAATGTATATCCAAAAATACTAAAAAAAGTATTGCAAAAAATGAACGTATTTATACAGATTTTTAGTGATTTTTAGCACAATTTTAGTACACGAAAGGATTTGAAACCCGTCATTTAAATGATCCAGTAAACATAATGTCAATAGTTACACTGTCTAACACGTTTGCTATTAGTGTTACCTATATGTATATGGAGAATTTATAACATTTTTGCGACAATTTCTGTTCTCATATTTTATGAAAGGATTACTCCGGTGAAGAGACATTATTACGCGTTAAAAAATATTATAGTCTTATTCGATTATCTATTGAATAGTTTATAAATAAAAAATGCAATAGAAGAGTGCAATATGAAATAGTCGCGTACATTTTACGATTTTACAATGCTCAGCATTATTACGCCATCACTGTCGGCATGACCGCTTTCTGAAATAACTTCACTTGTATTTTGAAAGCGAAACGCGCGTGGTTACCAACTTTTACCAACGCTACCCGTTGGTTTAATTTCTACATGTTCAGTTTTTTAAGTACTAAATCTCAAAACTTAGCACCATATAAGTGACCCATTTCGATGTAGTATTGTGTGCTTAAACAACATTTCCATACTCTTGTAATATTATACTATATATATTATTATGTTCCACAAAGTGTGTAGAATACTTTCGCACAAGCTAATTATAAGGTCGTAAATCTGTTACTGTCAAAACATTAGATATTTTCAAAGTCGAAACTTTATTTTTCATCGAAATCGGTGGATAGCTACACATGAGAATTAAAAAATAGTGTACAGATATTTTTGTACTATTTTTGTACAAAAATAGTGTATAATCTATCGGAACCACCTACTCAATATTAAAACCCCGAGAAAAAGTATTATCTATAATGGCGATACTAGTGCATGCGTGAAACGTATAATCAACGCGTCAAAAATATTCGGGATGTTAAAAAAAATCGTCAATGGAAAGTGTTAATTCGAATTATTTTATACCAGAACACTTGGTTCACGGATTTGAATATGTAACAACGTTTATAGCACCCGCCATGCGTAGCTTGGATGCGCAATTGACCAAGGAATATGTACATAGATAACTACATATCTTGTGGTAGCTGCATCACAGGTGCCGTTCCGTATCGAAACTTTCGTATGCTCATTGTTCTGCGCTGATATACAGAATCACGGTCTATATGATACGCATTAAAACGTTGCATCACCTGGAAACACCTCGGAACAGTTCACTGTTTTCAACGATAGGTACCAAATTTGCAACGTTCGCGAAATTCGGTACGCAGTCACGCGCACTTCGCTACGTGTTTCTGTTCCTCGTAATCAAGTACGCGACCCTCGGCTACTCTATCCGTCGTTACTGGAACAGAAAGCGAATCAGCGAGGCTGATCCCACGGAATGGACACTGGGCATCTCGTCGCAAAATGTCAGTTGGTCCGCAGGAACCCACACGGATAAGACAAAGAGACAAACAGTGTTAGACAGCGGTGGAAAAACTGCGGAATACGCAACTGAACGGAGTAAGCGAGACCCAAGTGACGGATAAACGATTCTCGAGATGGTGGGATCTCAGATTTCATCCACGGTATGTTGATACGATCGCATGACGGTGTTATTAGATTAGCGATAAACAAAACGAACGGCAAACAACTTATCATTACGATTTGACGGCTGGATGCAAGATAATCCAGGGCGTTTATCGATTTTCTAACAGTTTGTCAGGGAGATTTCAATACATTCGGTGAAATCGGGTCTGTTTAGTTTCTGGTGAGTGATAGGCTGATCATGACCGTCGCTTATCACTTTCTACTGAAATCGAAGGTCGGGACTTGGGAATACTGCCAAGTATTTTAGGTTATGTTTATTATGTCACTGAGCCGAGTATTGTGTATGTTTGTGCGCGTTTAAATTCGAGATTGACAACTAGGTTGTGCACGACCTTTATTTGCTGTTCGACATTGTTAGAATAATGAAGAAATAGAAAGTTTGGTCAACTTCGTTAGATTCTTTTTGTTTTGCAATAAATGCTATAGTTGTAGAAAGTCTGTAGATAAGTAATCAGCTCAAATATAAGTTTACAATGGCCTGTGAAATGCAATGGATGTTGAATTCGTGTAATAGAATCTGAAGATATATTGTTTATTTATTTGACAGTGAAAGCTGAAGAAATGTTTGAGAGCAATTGAAGCATAGTAGAAATTATGTATTACGGTGCGGTGCGCGAGCAAGTCTCCGAAAGCTGGTTGCATACATATGACTTAAGCAGTACAATGATCCCTAATGTCAGTTCGCCAATGAATGATGAGGAGCATTTTTGCAAGTTAATCTTATACAAAGAAATCAAGGATTCAAGGTATGTAATTGTGTTAGAAATATTTGATTTCGCTATTTTATTATATTATTTTGTATAGTATCAAATTTAATTGGTAAGAATTGTTGGGTTATTTTGTTTCTAGATAGATTATTTGTTTCTAGGGTACGAATATGGGATGTTGTCATATTGATACCAAATTTGTTGTTCCTCTTATTCATCGGAGTGAGATTTAACAGAGCACGGCTTAAATTGAGAGCAACGAGTAGTCCAATATTTTTAGCATTTTACGGACTTGTCATTTGTAACATAGTAATTTCAGTGATACGATGTGCTGTTTCAATGACTGTAAATGTAGCTGCTACGGTTGGTGGTAGAGCTGACAAAGTGCTGTGGGTTACAGTTAGATTTTTCTTGTTGTCCACAGAAATGAGTGTACTGATTTTTGGTTTAGCTTTTGGTAAGTAAAATTGAATTTCATGAAAACAGTTTACAGAAGTTTTAATTACATTCTGATTTCATTTTACAGGACATTTGGATAGTCGCTCAAGCATTCGTAGAGTGCTACTTGCCACGTCGTTTATAGCACTCGCTTTTACTATAACTCAAGGGGCATTGGAATTAGTTTTACCTGATGATACATTCCATATTCCCAGTAAAGATTTCTATGTGTTTGGTCATGGGGGTATGACATTCTGGTTCTGTAGCAGTCTTGTTTTCACAGTAGTAAGTTCCTAAATTAATACACCTATGTTACACTAATCTAGTTGTAAGAATTCTAATTAAACTTTTATTGCAGATATATCTTTTTATATTAATACTGCCATGGACGCGGTTAAGAGACCGTTTAACTTTACCAAGTATGTAAATATAGATGTAAAATGAGTTGCTACTTTCTACTAATTTGTATCTTACAAGCTCTTCTCTATTACAGCAAGAAAAAGTTTTTACATCTATGCTGGTACATTAGCCACGCTAGACTTAGTACAGTCTGTTGGCGCAGGTTTTTTAAATTATACACAAAATCCAGTAGGATTGTGTATCGTGGACTTCACAGCAGCTGTCTATCTGACTCTGTTCACGCCATTGGTCTATCATACATTCCTATCAGAATTTTTCGGGTAAGTTAATCTGCTTAAGTGTCCCCAAACATACACACACATATGGTGTCTATTTAATGAGTTTCATTTCAGGGTTTCGCAGCCTTCAATCATGTTCTCCTATAAGGCTCAAGTAGATGATGCAATGGATGAAGACACGGTGTCTCTACCGCATCAGCAGAGTTTCTCGTCGCTAAAAACAGACAGCGATTACATATACCAGGTCCATACTCCGTCTATTCACATGCCCTTATACGATTCTCAAATATTAAAATCATCCTCCTCGAAGCACAAGACATCCTTCCACTCCCTAGCATCTCCCGGAGATTCTAAAACTGCTAGCGGAAACGCCTATGATTCCTCGACCGCTTTGTACCGTTCTACATCCGGGATTAAGAACTTCCCGAGAAGGCTCAGCACGGACAAGACTGGCGCGGATTTGAAAAACTTACCCCTCACGAGATCAGACAATTTTATCGATTCGAAGAAGAGCACGCCCGATCTGAGATTTCCTAGCACTGCTTGGAAAAGTAGTTCCATATCGCAGATCAAATACGGTGGGCCTAGTAGTGTCTCCAACTTACTATTTCCGCAGAGTACCGCTAGTAACTTTCTGTATAAACCTAAGGCTAACGATAGCAATACGAATTTGTATTCCTTTACGAGAAAAGGTAGTTTAGAAAGCGGGAAAAAAGGCTCCGAAGGTAATGTCGCCCAGTTGTTTGAGATACCTCCTCTAGAGAACACTTTGCAGTCCATTCTGGACAGCGGTCATTACGATCCCAAAATAACTGATACCCTTACTCAAGAGTCTGTAGACCTTGCTCAAACTTCGGAGGCTAGCGTGGGTGAAAACAAATCGAGTGCTGCGGGACAATTGACTGATACCGAGGCTTCCAAAATCGATACGGAAGAGACGTTAGACTCTTCTGAGGAGACGATCGACTCCGCTGAGGAGACATTCGACTCCGCTGAGGAGACATTCGACTCCGCTGACGTTTCGAGTGCTTCTCAATTGTTACTTTCAAAGCATATGCTCTCTAGTGAAGATGTGTTTGGGACACGTAAGAGAGATTCTAAGAAAAAAGAGTCAGGCGGTCTGAACGATTACTTATTGTCGTTAACAATGTCGAATAGTCACAAGTCTTCGAGGGACAGTGAAACGAATCCCAATCCTTCCCCTTCTGATCAGAAGACCTACATACAGACTGAGTTGTTGTAAATATTCGTTTGAGAATCTCATCGATGTAAAGTCTAAGTGATTAGTAAATGTCCAGGATGTTTCAGTCTGCTTTATCATCTTAAACATTCTTTGTTTATCTTTAATATTTGTATATAATTTTGGTTTTTATCGAGGTTTAGAACCTCGTAGAAGTTGAAAACAAATTTAGTTTTTATGTAACAAAGAAACTGTCGAAGATACTGAAAATATTTCTGACAATAATGTCGACTGGAACAACCTGTATGTAAAGGAATTTTTAATTACTTGAAGTCGTTTTTAACAATTGGAGCATAGTCACGTGCGCTGACAACTAGATGTATCATAGTGTAATATATAGAGATGTGCACAAATGCTTTATTATATCTGTATATACGGCATGTTTAGATTTAATTAAACTTCTCGATGTAGCCAACGTATATGGTTTTATTTATTTATAACACTAACTTGGCAGTGGATTATGCTAATCTTTTAATTTTCTGTTGCGACGGTACGGTACACAAGTGCTTTTTTTCATTTGCAACGAGTTTCTTGCACTGCGCATTATTGTAAACAATCGTTTTGCACTCAGCTTGAAAGTATACATTATGTTTTGTATTTGCAATTGCCTTCACTGATGCATTGGTTACCGTGTCACACGTGTATAAACACGCTTCAAGTATCTACACATGGAACATTCTTCGGGATCTTAATTACACTCATTATGGAATGGAATAAAATTCGTATAGATACCGATACGGTAATCATTGTGTTAGTATTGGAGCTATAAATAAAGTTACACTGTATGAATTTTATCATATATTTTTAAACTTTCCACTTGATGATATTCGTTTAAATTCTTTACGATTTTACTACTTAGAAGGTGATACTATTATGTACTACTAAAAATTTTCATAAAGATCTTTTCTTTTCGTCACTAATATTAACAAACTCTCGTTAATAACGGACTATAAAATTCAAACGAATATTTCATACGGATAAGTAGAAAATTTTGATATAATTCGAGGTTTAATTAATTAGAGCATTAAATAATAGCAGTGTGAAAATAAAAAAAGTATATGCTACCATCAATCGTGTTCAAGCACAAAGAATGTTGCTTCTTCTATTTCAATATTTTCCTGATACACTTTTGCCCATTAAACGCCGCTTTATTCGTCTCTTCAGAAACAACACCTAAAATTGCCCCAGCCCTCAATGCTCTTTCACTGTCGACTGAGTTCGAAAGCACAAGTGCCGCCGAGTTGGACCGCGAATCCGAGACCAATAAAAAAGACCTTTGTAAAGGAGACGCAACAACGTGCTATTCTTCTGTTCACAGAATCACAGCGTTTACGATTCCACGCAGTTCGACACGAACTCGACGCCAGTGAATCCTCTGTACGCAGCGTCTCTGCAAAGCCCGGATAGCATAACCGGTTACAGTATAGACAGCCAAGAGGGCCAGACCCAGGCGAACGGTTACCAACAATGAGCAGCTCGATCCGACCGGGAAACATTTCTGAAGAAGCAATGGATTCGCTGATTGTCCAACACGATCAATTCTCATTCCCTGAGAAGAACAAGTGGAGCGATTTCCACTACGAGAACCAGCGAATAAGGAATAAGGTTACGAGTCAGCGTGGAACGGGAACCAAGCATCCATCGGTACGATTCCACGGGAAGAATCTAGTCGCTCTCGAGACAATTCTAGGGCAATAACATCGAAGAAGTACTTTTTGTTTCCCTGTGATAGATGGCATCGAGGTGGAAGCTATTCAAACAGTCTGCGACAGAGATCCGAGAAATGTTCAATCATAGCTTAAGTCGCTGTCCGTGCGTGTCCTGGTATTAGACCGACGGATTTTATCCGTGTACACGTGTAATCCGAGATTTCACTTAGCGTTTATGCTACATGCTGTTCTGTTCGATTGAATCGAGCACAGGTTGCGAGCTGTAATTTATGATAGCGAACAGCTTCGACCTTCGAATCTCTATGCAGACAAACATGGTCTACAAGAAATTATGAGATACTCAAGCGTGGCAGATTAATTAAAGAGATTTTTATTTTTCGTTATGATTCTGGAAATCGATATTATTTTCTATGATGATATAATTCTGTTATAATTAGATACGCTAAGGGACGAGATTATGAAATCTTTATTTAAGAACTTTTTCCGACGTTATTTGACTCACATTTACTTCGATAAGATTACGTTAAGCTGTATTCAGAGGAGTGATTTAAAAGATTTGTGTACGATCGGAAACGTGCGATGATTTTGATTGTTCACCAATGGTTGATAATTACAATCAGTAGAAAAAATCTGCGCGCACCTTTTAAAATAGAATAATCTTCTTTTCAAACTGGAACAAATTACTTGAATTTTTGAAATGTTAGAACTAGGTAAGACAGTGAGTAAACAAATTTTTGCAAAAATTAAAATTGGAGTGACAAAAACATAATGTTTTCTCAACATTCCGAACTTCTCATATCCGAGCCTGTATCAGAAATTTAACACTAAACGTACCGAGCGCCAAAAGTCTCATCTTTTAAAATTATAAGATTGCGCGATTATTTAGACTTAAAAATTTAGTCAATCATTTTCTAAAATAACAAACTGGAAACCGGTCGTTTGACCCGCAATGGTACGTTCAGCCTTGAGCAATGCGTTTTGAAAATTTTAAAAATTGAAAAAACATCATCTAGAAATTGTTTTGTCGTTTGAACCAACTGCAATTTTTTCAGAAATTTCGTTACTTATTGTTTAGTAAACTAATTCTTCTAACGTCTGAACAAAAATTCAAGTCATTTGATCAGATTTTAAAAAAAGTTATTCCATTTTAAATGGTGCACACAACTTTTTTAACTACAAGTATGTGAGAATTTCTATTCAGTTTTTATAGACAACATACAGATACGTAAACATTGAAATTGCGAATTTAATTATAAGATACGGGTGGCGACCGGAGTTCTATTCGGTACTTAAGAGATTCATCAGGATGAATGTTTTGTAACGTGATCTGGATCGGATTTGCGGAAGGACACCGTCGATCGATGGCCGTGTTGCGTTGGTTAGCCGGCAGCTAAGGTTATTCTATATTTCCATCGAGTATCATCGGTTGAATTCACTTCGGGACACTTGCTTATCGTTTTCTCCGTCCTCTTCACCAAAGAGACCCGCCTGGAACTGTGGGTCGATCCAGAAGCGAACGATCGAGCACGATCCGCGCCGAATAAATCCCCTCGCTATTTTCCTACTTTTGCATTGACGGATCGCTAGAACGACGTTCCGACGAATCGGAGTTGTTGGAGATCAGGAAATATGTTCGACATCAAGGAGAGAAAAAGCTCTTCAATGCTCCGCTGACTATTATGAAGACTCCATCCATCGTATACAACGTGCCCGGCTTAAACACACGCGCTATTTGTCTCTTTGATTTGTGGTAAACGCGATGGAAAGTTTCGCAGGCACATTATCTCATTCCCAAGGGAACTGCTGATGGAATATATCAAAATTTCTCCGATTGTTGTTCATAAAAATATTGTCATCAACGTATTTTTTTTTTAAGAAAACGAAACTACAGGGGAGCCTCTGTCAGTCGAATCGGGGAGACGTCGAAATCACCGAAGAATTTCAAGCGTTATGTTTTCGCGAATCAGAGAAATTAGAACGTGCGCATGGTTAAGCCGGCCACATTGTATGTATATACACCCTGTACTCTAGTGTAAAGGATATCGTGTTATTTATATATTAATATATACATTATATTTATCGATATTGTATGTCCGTACTTGTACCGTGCTAGCTCGGCCGGACGGGAGTCCGGCATTTTCAATTTGATACGTAACGAATTAGGAGAAAGCGGCGCTAACGGAAGCAGTTGCGTTGGTTCGTGGATACTGTGAGGTGTTTTCAACGAAAGTAACAATGTGCCACGGATTAGCGAGACCGTTCACGAGGATGCAATAATCCGTGAGGGAGGGGGGAAGCGAGGTATTTGCGAAGAGAAACGAGCCAAAGGCCTTGGGGGTTTTGAAGACAATGAAAACAACACAATAACTTTTTGAACATTTATTAAAGCGATCGAGGTTGCGTCGAGGAGGCTATCGCTCACGAATGGTAGAAAGCGTTCGCTAATCCGTAGATCATTGTCTCCTAAAAAGAAAGACAATTAATTGAGTCAATCGACACCCTTAAGTGTCCCATATCGAATTACACGGTGCTCCAGGGATTAATGAATCGGCGACTATCAACTAAACTGCGAAGTTCCAGAAAATTGGCTGTCAACGTTTACGAATATCGGTTACGAATCCGTGAAGCACCGCGCCGTACATTGAGGTATTCCGATTCGTTTAATCCTTCGTTCACCACATAATTTTTTTACGGTTTGTAACATTTTCCCGTGAGAAGCCGTGAATTTCTCGGAGAAATCTCGCCGAAGTTCTCGTTGGGACTCGACCGTGCTCCGAAGAAAAACGGAAGGGTGTTCAGTCTCGAATATCCAGAGGATGGGAGGAGGATCGTTATTAACGGGATCTCAGATATTTTTTAACGTCCGAGACAGTCGGACTTGTAAATACGATAACGAGGAGAAGCAAAATGGTTTTGGTCGTCGTGGCGCAATGAGCCCCACTGTCAATTTTTTGCGATCGGTTGAATCACTTCGAATCACTCGTAATTGTACTCTACAGGCTGATTATCTTGTAACTCTCTGACAATGTGATCCTCTTTTGTAATTGTCAGCTGGGATAAGTAAAAGGCAATACGCGTAACACGATTATATATTTAATGAGAATAAAATTACATTTCAATCGGACTTTCTGTTATCGCCGTTTGACCTAACATTTGGAATCATGGTTTCACGTAACAACGAGCGAACGATCGCATTGATTTACAATATGCAAGAACTAAAGTTCCAATGACTTTATAAAGACTCGGCGAGCAACTTTTATCGAGGCTCGGGAAGTTGCTTGCAAACATTTCATCGGCAACATATATCAACCGAATCTTCCATGATTCCAACTCTCAAATTTTTGTATTGTTTTTTTTATGGTTTTTACCTTGATTAGATAGTAGAAGCATCAATGGTGCATTGACCACGGGAACGAGATGGAAGAGCACAGAGCAGATCGATATAGATATTACCATGCTTGGGTAGCTAAAGCCTGCGGCTACCATTTTGTCGCTATCTTTAGTTTACAGTGTATTAATGTCGACGTACAGAAATTCTGTACTCGTCCTCGCGGTATCGGTATCGTCTAAGAAACATTGAGGGGGAATTAAATCGAAGTGAAGGGTTGCGTTAGTTATAATTAGAGCGGCTATAAAATTAGAGACCTTAATGAGAGTAAATTCCAATAATATATATAATGCCTGAAAGCTCAATGAAATATAGATTCGTCTACACTACGGGAATTGCAAAGCTCAAGATAAATAAGTTAAGGATCAAATCGATAAAACAAACGAAGAAAAGAACAAACAAACAAACAAACATACAAACGGGCAAACTAACAAACGAGCAAACGGACAAAATAGCAAACGAGCAATCGAGCAAACTAACAAACTAGAAAACTAGCAAACGAGCAAACAAGCAAACAAGCAAACGAGCAGACTAACAAACTAATAAACTAACAAACTAACAAACTAACAAACTAACGAACTAACGAACTAA